GGATCGTTCATGGCGCCCAAAGTTGGAGGCACAACGCATCCCCCTCACCCACCCGGTGAGCGTCGTCCTTGACCACGCTGAGGCGCAGGGCCTCATTGTGAAGGACCTCAGGTCAGAGGAGGAGATATTTGCGGTCCACAAAGGAGGGACATATTGCAAATACCACCGCCAGACATCCCACACGACCGATGATTGCACCACCCTGAAGAGGCACATCGACGGCCTCGTCCGACAGGGGGAACTTTCCCAATTTGTCAAGGGTGCCCCCAAGAGTAACACTTGGGTTAACCCTGGCAAAAGGGGGGAAGGATCCTCCGGGAAAAAGAGGGAGATCGGCGCCCTCAGTGAAGATGAGGACGAGGAAGAGCCCCGCCAGAAGAAGCATCACATTCACATCATCGTCGGCGGGAACACAGGGGGGGACTCGGCTACCCAACGGAAAAAATGGGCTCAGTCCCTATACGTTGGTGAGGTGTCCCACGCCCCCCCTCAGCCGAAGAGACGGCACGTGGAGGCCATCACCTTCACCGACAAGGACCTCCCCTTCGGCCCCTTGCCCCACAGAGACGCCCTCGTCGTCAGATGCGAGATCGGTGACAACATCATCCACCGCAACTACATCGACACGGGCAGCTCCGTCAATGTGATGTACGTGGACACATTTAGGCAGCTGAAGCTTAAGAAAACCGAGCTCCGGCCGATACGGACTCCGTTATCCGGCTTCACCGGGGACTCTATCGACGCCGAGGGCATGATAGTGCTTCCCGTTGTGGTCGGTGACGGTACCTGTCAAGCGAAGATTGACATGGAGTTCGTAGTCGTCAACCTGGACAGCGCCCACAACATGATCTGGGGCCGACCGGCCTTGGAGGACCTTGAGGCCATCATCTCCATGAAACATCTATGCCTCAAGTTCCCCACCAAGGACGGCGTCGGCTACGCCAGAGGAAACCAGAAGATAGCCAGGGCTTGCTACCTGAAGCTCACAAGGAAGATCAATGAGGCCGAGGAGCGGATAGACACTATCACCACCGCCTCGGCCGAAGAAGACACACCAAAGGCCGAACCGGTCAGAGACGTGGAAGATGTTCCGTTGGACGTCTCCCGGCCGGAACGCATGCTGAAGATTGGGACACAGCTCCCCCAACAAATCAGAAGGGACATCCTATCCGTCTTGAGAGCGTATGTCGTCGTCTTTGCATGGGGACCAGAGGACATGCCGGGCATCAGCCCAAAGGTAATCACACATCGGCTATCGGTGAACCCGGCCTCCTCCCCCATCAAACAGAAGAAACGCTACCTCTCAGCTGACAGGATGGAATTCGTCAAGGCCGAAGTGGCCATGCTGCTCTCCATCAAGCACATAAAAGAGGTGAAGTACCCCACGTGGTTGGCGAACGTCGTCCTCGCACCAAAGCCGCCCACGTTCAGAATGTGTGTTGATTACACTGACCTGAACAAAGCGTGTCCGATGGACCCATTTCCTCTCCCCAACATTTATCAGTTGGTGGACGAGACAGCGGGGTGCGAGTTGATGTCGTTCCTCGACGCGTTCAGAGGGTACCACCAGATATCCATGCATGAAGATGACGCGGAGAAGACTGCTTTCATGACCCCGGAGGGAATCTTTTGCTACCTCGTCATGGCCTTCGGGCTCAAAAACTCCGGCGCCACTTATACAAGAATGGTAGCCCGGATTTTTAGAGCAGTCTTAGGCCGGACGATGGAAGCATACGTCGATGATATGATCGTCAAGAGCAAACAATCCACAACCCACGCCGACGACCTCCGGGGCATCTTCGAAATCATGAAGAAATACAACCTCCGGCTCAACCCGAAGAAGTGCACCTTCGGCGTCCAGGGAGGTAAATTTCTGGGGTACCTGGTCAGCCGAAGGGGCATTGAAGTAAACCCGGAGAAGATACAAGCCATTATCAACATGGAGCCGCCCCGCAATGTAAAGGAGGTGCAACGGCTGACGGGACGCCTCGCGGCCCTGAACCGTTTTCTCTCAAAATCCGCGGAAAAGTCGCTCCCCTTCTTCCAAATAATGAGGAAGGCCGCCAGCTTCAAATGGACAACGGAGTGCCAACAAGCCTTTGACGAACTGAAGCAATATCTCGCCTCCCCACCCGTCCTATCCAAGCCCCAACCCGGCGAGACTCTCTTCCTTTACTTAGGAGTGAGCACGTCGGCCGTCAGCTCTGTACTCATCAGGGAGGATGACGGGGTACAAAAGGCAATATTCTACGTCAGCAAGACGTTGCGGGAGGCCGAGCTCAGGTACTCCCCCATTGAAAAGACGGTGCTGGCCATCGTCCACACGGTGAAGAAGCTCGGGCACTATTTCCAGGCTCACCCCGTCCACGTCCTCACGCATCAGCCGTTGGGCGCCCTCATGCGGAGCCCAACCAGCTCTCCAAGGATGATCAAGTGGGCAATATTCTTGAGCCAGTATCAGATTGAGATCAAGCCGAGGCCATCCATCAAGGGGCAAGCCTTGGCTGACTTCGTCACCGAATGCACGGCAAGGGAGACGACCGCAACCCCCACAGGAGCTGAACCAGACGAAGCCTGGACCCTCTACACAGATGGGTCCTCGGCCACCAAAGCTTGTGGAGGCGGCGTCGTCCTCATCTCCCCAGAAGGATTCAGAGCATACTATGCCATCCGCTTCAATTTCAAGGTATCCAACAATGAAGCCGAGTATGAAGCGCTCCTCAGCGGCCTCAGACTAGCCGCTGGCCTCAAAGCACGCCACATCAGAATCAAATGCGACTCCAAACTCGTGGTGAACCAGCTGGAGGGGTCCTACGAGGCCAAAGAAGGGAGAATGAAGCAGTACAAGGAGGCCGCCGCGGAATTGCTCAAGGCGTTCGATACCTACGAGATCACTCAGATCCCAAGGGCGGAGAACGCCGAGGCCGACATACTCTCCAAACTCAGCTCCGACACCCCTGAGCACATCTCCAAGATAGCTAAAGTGGAGGAATTGAGCATTTCAAGCATTCACGCTAGCCCCATACTCTCCATACAACACCAGCCGGAGGATTGGATCACTGACATCGCAACCTACATCACCTCCGGCACATTACCCGAAGATGAGGAGAGGGCCAAACTCGCCAAACTCAGGGCGCCAAGCTATGTCATTGAGGGTGACAAGCTCTACAAAAGATCATACAATGGCACCCTCCTCCGGTGCCTCCACCAGAATGAGGCCGAAGTGGCCATGGAAGAAGTCCACTGCGGCGTATGCTCATCACATCAGGGGCCCTTCAGCATGTCACGGCGCCTCGTCGTCCAAGGCTACTTTTGGCCGACGATGGCACGCGATTGTGCTGAAGTCGCCCGCAAATGCAGCGCATGCCAACACTATCAAAGGGCACCTGGCCGACCGGTCGTCAACTACGCCCGGTCAGCACTGCCATTCCATTTTCCCGATGGGGCATCGACCTCGTCGGCCCGCTACCAAGAGCTGCAGGCAACAATAGATACATCATCGTCGCCATCAACTACTTCACTAAATGGGTCGAGGCCGAACCACTCGCAAGCATCACCGGAGCACGGTGTCGAAAGTTCGTCTACAAGAACATCCTCACCCGCTTCGGCGTGCCTCAGGAGATCATATCAGACAACGACACCCAATTTGAGGCCGAACCGTTCCAAAGCCTCCTCCAAGAATGGGGTATCAAGCACCGCTTCTCCTCCGTTGCCTACCCTCAGGCCAACGGGCAGGTGGAGAACGCCAACAGAACCATCTTGGAGGGGCTGAAGAAGAAGCTTGAAGAAGAAGGCGGAAGTTGGGTTGACGAGCTCCCCAACGTCCTATGGTCCTACCGAACTACTCCAAGGAGGGCCACCGGGGAGACACCATTCTCTTTGTGCTACGGCTTCGAAGCCAAGGCTCCCACTGAAGTCACCCTCCCCAGCCGACGGGTCACACAATACGACCCCGAAGCCAATGAAGAAGCCATGAGGATTGACCTACACCTCATCGACGAGAGACGGGAAATGGCCTACCTCAGAGCGGAGAACTACAGACGACAAGTCAAATCCTATTACGACGCCAAGGTCCGCTCCCGCGAATTCCAGGTGGGGGACTACGTCCTCCGCCGAAGGGAAGCGAGCAAGCCGACGGAAGGGGGAAAGCTCGCCGTAAAATTTGAAGGGCCCTACATCATCAGCGCCGTCGTCAAAACCGGCACCTATAGACTAAAGAACCCTAATGGGTCAGATGTACCACGATTGTGGAATGTACACCACCTGGTGAAATTTTACCAATGACTCGAGAAGTGGTGAAGTGGGCAACGTCCCCCACCCCTCGGCTTATTGGTTGAATGAAACACCCTCGGCCTAGCGCCACTTATTGAATAAAGATAATGTTTCAATCCATTCTTTCAAAGAGCTGAAAAACCGCATCGGCCTAAGCGGTGGTAACACCCAGGACCGATGCGACCTAAGCCGTCGCAATAAACGACGCACCCAAAGCCGTTGCAATAAACAACGCACCTAAAGCCGTCGCAATAAACGACGCACCCAAAGCCGTTGTAATACACAACGCACCTAAGGCCGTTGTGACCCACAACGCGCCTACAAAGCCGTTGCATAGACAACGCACCCAAATATCGTATCGGCAAAGCGGTGAAACACCCAAATCGGCCGACGATATGCAGGACGAAGGACCTGTGTGCATGGTCCGACGTCTTCAAACGGAGAAGCATACCGCGTCGTCCGCGCGGAAACCGCAGGACGACAAGCCTGAATTAAGGCCGAGGTTACAATAACTCCCGTCAGTAAAATTTCACTCAGGACCACAAAGGGCGACCGTCAAAAGACGATGCCTAGTCCGGTCCCTCGTCGACGATAGACGTGGAAAGGCCAAAAAAGATGCCACTGACACACCAAGCCGAGGGCGTATTTACTCCCTCGCACTAATCCACGCGAAAAGCGTAGCGGACAAACTACCGCACATGGACGAAGGGCAGTAACCCTTCGGCTACCAAAAAAAAAAAAAAGAGGGAAGCCGACGGACCGCGCACCCGCCGGCCTCGAGCATAAAATAAAATCCCCACAAAAACCAAGCCTCAAAATCGGCTAAGTACATATCAGGATCACCATACACGAATACGAAGTACACGCTTCGGCCTCGACCACAACATCCCAAGGTTTAATCGCTTCAGTTTCAACTATACAAAACCACCCCATCACTTGGAAGGTGAGTCGCATCGTCTCCAATTAGCAAAACCCAAGTGACGAACCAAAGGAAAACACCTACATCAAGGAAGCTTGACACTTAGAAAATTTTTTAAGTCACATCACCGCAAAGACGATGCGCTACCACTACGCGTCGCTTCATCTTCAACACTTCGGGACAATTCCCTAAACTTGAGAAAATCCTTGGAGGTTCTATTTAAGTACACAGAGCGCCAGCCGATGCGGACATACGCAAGGGACGTAGCGTCGCACCGGAGGAAAGATTGAGCACTTGACAAATTCTGAAACATATCCAAAAAGGTGCGCCTCGTCCCGAATCACAGTCAAGGGTGCGTGCCTCGTCCAAACATACTACACCATCAAACCGCATCGTCCCCGATGAGGGAGGCATATCTTTTGAAATATCAGGAGACCGCTTCATCTCAGACTACTGCGGTATGTTCAACACTTGGCCGAACTTACAAAAACTTAGAACTTGAAAAGCAATAATTATAGAGACGATGCGACACCAACAGTTTACACATCAAAAGCTATAAAGACGGAACAGTATAAACATCCATACTTAGACAAAAAAGGGTTGTCATTAATCGATGATTCAAAGTACACAAGGGGGCGCTTCGGCCGTTACATTCATCAGGGCGCTTCGGCCATTAAGACTACAACTATGAATGTAAAAAGAAACTAAGTACAAGGAAACACTAAGCAGTTTGTCCCTGGCCACCTTCAACAGCCCCACTGTCGGCATCGTCCTAAACATCATCGGCGGTCTTTGACTTGGCCGAGCTCCGGAAGAGGTAGTCGTCACTCTCGGTCCAGGGCCCGTCCTCCTCGCCTGAACTCAGAATGGGGGGTTGCCTTTCGGACAGTGGGAGTTTCAACTCCTCCTCGGGGTCCTTCATCAGCCGGGGAAGGCCGATACCCCTGGGCTTCAAGTTTTTCACACGACGGCGGAGACGGCGATCAACCAACATCTGCATACGCCTCTGGCCGAGGTCGTACCGGACCTCGAACTCCTGTTTCAGGCAGGCTCGACCGGCTTCCTCCTGCGACCACGCCTCAAAGCGCTCCGCCACGACATTATAACTCCAATCGCGCCGGGCCTCGTCCTTCCACCCTTCAGCCATAAAAAGCTCAATGGCTTTATCAGCAGCCGCAGTCGCATCGGCCTCTAGCTTGACAGCCTTTTCCTCCACCAGCCGACGGGCAGCCGCTTCTTCTTCCAACTGAACCTTGAGGCGCTTTGCCTCATCTTCAGCAACAACGGCTCTCTTCTCAGCCGCATCGGCCCTATCCTTCAAGGACCCGGTCTCAACACGCAACCGTTCCAAAGAAGAGAGCGCTTCGTCCGCCAAGGCCACCCTCTTTTCAACCTCCCGGAGACGGGTAATCTCTTCCTCCTGCCGGCGCTGCTGCTCCATCACCATAAAAGCCCCCTGCAAAGACAAGTAATTGTCAGAAGAGGAAAGGAATACAAGAAATTACTAAGTACAAAAGCCGGGACTTACCTGGACGACGTAGTCCAGCCCGCCGTCGAAGAGGCGCACATCTTTTCCCTGTCGACGCAGGTACGCCCTATCCTCGTCTGGGATAGCCTGGAAGAGGACATCATGGCCGGACACCTTCTCATTGAACAACCCGCCCTTCGTTGGGTACCGCACCGTCACCTCATAAAGGCCGGTAGCCGGATCTCGACCAGTGCGGGTGCTTTCCTTGGCAACAGCGCCAGAATTGGAGGGGACTATAGCAGCTGACTCCTTCAACGTCAAGTCCTCAATGACCTGCACGTCGGAGACATCTCCTCCTTGGGCTGAAGCCTGCGCATCAGCAGTAGCAGTATCACTTGGAGGGGGGTTAGGCCTCGTCTTCTTGGCCCCTTGAGCCGACACCAAACCAGTATCAACCAAGGTGCGCTGACCCTCCTCGGCCTTCTTCTTTCGCTTCACCACGGGCTTCTTCACCGAGTCGGCTTGAGATTTGGATCCGTCACCATAACCCTTGGATGCCTCGGCCTGACGAGCCGCCTGCATCTCTTTATCAACCATCTTCTTGGCCTGGGACATAAACATCTTCCGGCTCATGGTGAAGTCTGCAAATGCAAAAACCAAAGAGTTAGAAAAATAAGTAAAGCAAACCATAATGGAGCCCAAGGAAAGGGATCAACCTTCGACATCGGCCGGAACACCAAAATAGGGCCCGTCGGCCTGCTCATAATAGCCAGATATTTTCGGCCACAATCCGCAATCGGGGTCGCCGGGAATATAGTACCGCATCATCCTGAGGGCGGCTATCTTGAACTCAGTGATGTAAGTGTTGACGCTCCGCGGCCCACCCTTCAGGAACGCCTCCACTTGAGCATCAATCTCAGGACTCTTGGGTGGGACGTGCAAATTAAAAATGTCGTTGTGCCCTTGGGAGGGGAAGAACACCCCATCGGCCAGCTTCACAAAACAAAACTTGCTCTTCCACCCATGAATGGACGACGGGTGGTCAGTAAAGGATCTCTTCTTCGGCAACTGCTGGAGGGCCGCATATCCAGCACAGTTCTCGTGACTGCCCCGACCGATCCGGTACAAGTTCGTGAACAACGCCGTCGTCGGCTCAATCCCAAGCTCATCGCATCGGATGAGGAACCCAACAATAAGGGAATAGCTGTTCGGAGTTAATAAGGCAGGTGGAAGGTCTATCATGCGGAGATACTCCACGACGAATGGATGTAGAGGGAACCTTAAACCCTGCGAGAAGCTCATCGGATACACTCTGAAGTAACCGGGAGGTGGATCCAGAACATGGTCCGTCGGCTTCGGCGCCCTCACCTTTCCATAAGGGCCTACGTACAACTGTGCCACATGGTATTCGCTCTGGGTGCTCTCCGGCCTTATGATGTAAAGATTCGTCAGATCCAATTGAGAGAGCCCGCCGGATACCCCTTTCCGCCGACGCGAGGTGCGTCTCTTCGCCGCCCCGGAGGACGACGCCCCACCCGGCACAGAGGAAATAGGTGGGGGACAGGGGATGGCGGCCGATGAAGCATCACCCGCATCGCTTTCTCGGAGCTTGGGCTCAGAACTCGCTTCGTCCTCACCCGACGGTTGAGAACCCGCATCTTCACTAAGGCGCTCCTCGTCCACAGAGGTGCGGTAATCCGCAGTATTCTCCATCTCAACCTCGAAGGCCTCCTCCACCCTTAGATCGACTCCAGGAGATGTGTCCTCGTCGTCAAAAGGCCAATCAGATTCGTTCAGCGAAGCTTTTAAGTCAATTGGGGAGGGGACGCTACGGCCGTCAGCGAACGGCATAACAACTATCGCTACGTCCTAAGGGTAGTTTTCGGATCAAAGTGACTTTCCTAAAGAACACTAGATCTAACACCCTAAGGAGCAAAATATGAAGAAATCAAAGGAAAATTAGTGTCTAACCTTTGAAGATTTGGAGATTTGAAGAAACACTTGGAAGATTCTGGGAAGCACTTCTCTCTCTAGAAATCTCAGCAGCAATTCGACACTTAGCAAATGCAAATGAGGAAGCAACTTCGGAAGGGGGGGGGGGGGGGGGGTATTTATAGAGACCTTTCCAACGGTCACTACACGTGGCGCCATCCCATTGGCTCCACCAACGGCCACCTCTCCTCCAACCAATCAAGGAGCACCAATTCAAAATCACTCATGCAGGCACCCCTACGGCCCAACTCAACCTTACAAAGAGCAAGGCATCGGCTGAACACCGCTACGGCCCAACTACTACGAAGCTCCAAAGCAGGCATCGGCCCATACTTCCGATAAAGGGGAACGTATCGGCCTAAACTCCGTCCTCACAACGACCCAAAAAACCTTGATAGACCACTACGGCCGCTTATGCGCGCATCGTTGATGATGACCCTGGTATCGCGGCCTTCGTCCAAGGGTTCTCCCACAGGGTTACCTTGGACAGGTTCGCCTAAGGGTTGGAATTGCGACTAACGCATAGGTACCGAATCGGCTCATTACTCCCTTGTGCCTCAGATACTCTTCGGCCAAAGGAGTGGGGGACTAGGGGACTGTATCGGCCACAAGAAGAGAAAACGCAACGGCCTTAATATAAAAGGGTGCGCTACGGCTCACCAACAACAAAAGGCGAACAATTCACCTCAATAGCAGTACGAATCGCATAGGCCACAGAGCCCAAAATTAAAAACTCAAAATGTGAGATCTAACACGCAACGGCTGCGCACACTGGGGGGACTGCGTCGGCTCACCATAGCAAGAACCCACAAGTCAGAAACGCTTCGGCTGCATGACAAGTTAAGGCGTGCATCGCATCGTCCACATAGACGGAATCAACCTTCCTCACTTCATAAGACAAGGTTATCGCTGCGGCCAAAAAGTTATAAGGGAGCTCTTCGGCCCCAACAAATGGCAATGAAACTGGCCAGTTTATCCAACAGAATTCACCACATCATCCATGAAGAGAGGAACATATCGCTTCGTCCTAAAAGCACGCCCACGGGGAGCGCATCGACCAGCATCAAGGTGATGAATCCCCAAAAGGCGCTCCGTCTCCATCAAGTAAAGAAACCCCTTCGTCTAAAAACCAAGGCAAAGACCTCTTCGGCCACCGAGCACCTTAGGCTCACGCAACAGTCAGCCAGAAAGGAACAAGTACTCCCTTTCGCTTCGGCTTTACCTCAGCTCAGAGAGTAGGGGACTCCTGATAGAGTATATGGGCCTGGACCCCATGGCCCACATACTCAATGGCCCAAAAGACACCAGCAAGGCACCCGCATCGGCTAAGGGCACGCAACGTCCAAGAAAGAAGACATCACCTGGATTCTTTGGGCAAAGCCCAGAACCCGCATCGTCCATGGACCGCATCGTCCATGGACCGCATCGTCCGGACTTCGTCCAGGCAGAATGTATTTTTCATTGTATTTACTAAGTATTGTACACAGCCCATTAGTGGCCTTATTTCGCCCAAAGAAGGCATGATTATTGTAATGGGCCTCCTAAGCCCAAGGCTAGAGGCCCAAATCCACATTTTTACCTATAAATAGACCCCAAGGGGCTAATTATAGGGGGTTCCAAGTTGAGAAATATAATTACTCACTTTCTCTCTCTAGCTCTCACTTCTCTCTAGAATTAATACTCTATCAGACTCCATTTTGTTACCTTAAAGCTTTCGTGTAATACAGAACTAAACATTTACTGTTTTACATCATGTTTAGGCATACTTTTCTATTTCTGCTCACAATAGATATTGTGTACGTACACTTAAGAGTGAGCTAGTAATTTATTGTCAAACAAATATTTTTTTAGTTGATACGCAAATTCCGTATTACTTATTTTACATCACTTTCTAGTATGGCTCACAATTAGTATGTTTTTTTTATACTAAAAATACACAAAATATTAACCAAAAAATCTTTGTGCTAACTCACTCTAGTATTACGTACAATAATGTTTAGTTTCACAATAAATCTCTGTACGACTGTACCAGCTCACTCTAAAATGTAAGATCACTTTAATTTGTACCAGATCCCCCCCCCCCCTTATATACGGAATATAAATTGAATTTATAAATAGATTTAATCACCAATTCATTGTAAGAGACTTAGTTAAGACAGAAATAATAATAATAATGATAATGATGATGATAATAATAATAATATAATAATAATGATGATGATGATGATGATAATAATAATAATAATAATAATAATAATAATAATAATAATAATGAATGGTGGACTTGGATTGAAGTTCACCTAAAGAAGAACTCAAGTAGCACATTTGGCTTTGGATTGAAGACAGAAAAAGTAATGTGAAAAGTAATGGAGGAAAAGAAAGAGTCGAGGACTTTAATTTGCTTATTTGCCCATCTTAATTAAAGTTGAAGTGTAATGATGATACAACAATGCGGTAATTAAGGAATAATTATTACCTTAACAGGATAGTGGCAAAGCAAAGGAAGTTTGCTAAAATCTCCGGTCTCTTTGTACTTGTACCAATTAAAGAGACAATCTGAAACACTGCATGCACATATAATACAATTAACAAGTTAAAACCCGCCCTGATTATTGTTAAGATCGTGATTCAATTTTTAAAATTCAATCTAATAATAGAAGAAGATGATCTTAATACTATGCTGTAGAAATAATATGGCGTAGGACAAATACTTCAATATAGCTAACGAATAACGATTTATAAATCATTACTCAGAATGGGAAGGAGAAATCAGGGCAACCCAGTCGGTTGAAGAGGGAAGCATCACTCCATCAACATGAACTGTAACAGTTTCTTCATCAGAAAGCTGGTTGGGATTTGTATTGTCATTGGAGAGTTCTACCCACAATTTAAGGTAAGGGTTGGGGTCGTGGCACTCCAGCAGACGTTTTCTGTTCAGTAACCGGAACTCCGAGATTCCGGTGTGATTCTGTAGCTCTATCGCCGCCGCTGCCGCTCCTGCAACAATGCTGTCATCTGTCGTGGCGGTTGAAGAATTCGCCGCCACAAAGAAGAAGAAGAAGAGTTGGAGCAAAAGCAATAACGGTCTCATGATCATATTGTCAATGCAAGGAGGTGGAGGAGCTAGCTAGCAGCTATAGAAGAAGGTATGAAAATTGGGAATTGAAATACTAGTAATAAGAATCTTACTAGAATTTTTTTTCTTTTGATAATTAGCGATGAAAAATAACTAAAACGTTCTTTATGTTGGGCACTTGGCATTCTATATATATAGGCATCCCGACCGGCCTACCTATCCTATATGTATCTGTCTCTCATTATAAAGAATGACATCAGATCGTTATAAGGAGAATTGCAGTCTTAATCCTATGGCTCGGCTCTGTCCGTTATTAGTCCTGTAATTTTACTTGATTGCACACTTATTTCTGTATTTGATAATTTTTTGCAATTTAAGAATTTGTTCACTATAAAGTATATTTTTCGGCAGAAAATTTGACGAAGGTGACGACATCATGTTCGGAAGGTGTACTTTCCGGTGTAAAAGTCTTTAATTTGCAAAGATTTATTAGTTAGATGATCAAATCTGCAATTGAGTAAAGTTAGAGGACTAATAACGGCACAACCGAAGGTGACGGAGCTAATATTGCAATTTTCCCCTTAATTATATTAGACACTTTATTGGTTTAATTATACAACAAAATCACAGCCAAAGGTAATTTTCCAAATCCGTTTTATTTTTCGGTGAATAGGTTTTATTTTTCACTTTTGAACGGAGCTTTACCCCCATCAATTTTTATACCAAGTTGAGTTGAGCTAGTTGTATCAGAGATAGATGTTCTTTGACCGTAAAGCTAAGAAATGATGATTATTGGTGGTAGCGGTTGAATTAGCTGAATTGTGGAAAATGATTGAAGAAAAATATATATGAAAAACAGCAGCTAAAATGATCTCCTACCATAATTTCATTCAATTCAGACAGAAAACAACTCTAATCTCAATTATTAAAATTATTACATAATTCAATGTGCTAAATCAAAAGTTACATATTTGATAAAAAAGTTGACTGATAAGATTGATAAAATAAAATAGGAGTTATTAAACGACTCCAAATTACAAATAAATTGCCTTTGAAGAATCATTTGGCAAATGCATTTGTTCACATACACTAGAAAAACGTAGGATGTATGCTCACATACATTAGTGTGTGCGCACATTGAAATTAAGTTACATGATTATTTGCGTTTTGTATATGTATACTATCTATATATATATACATCATTTTTTACTTATATGGTGACAAATTAAATATATTCTCGCTGTCTGATCTGGGACGTTAAATAAAGTTTCCTTATACATTGTCCTTTTTCACCTATCTAATGTAATTTTTTTGATCATACCTATCTAATGTAATTGTTAAACAAAAAATGTGCACGCGTTTTGGAGTGTACAAAATATGAACATTGTTAATTATTGTTTACTACGCAATTAACTGGCCAATAAAATGAAATGACGACAACATGGTGTATAAGTAGTAGTGTATGTGTCGTATAAGCCATCATTATATAATTAGTCTGGTTGAGTAATGAGTTGTGATTTGTGAACATGGATGTGATATCACTTTAACATATCGTTACTTGATAGCATACTGGATGTTGAACCTTATGAGCAACCTCATTTCTTAGTGGATTCGACTTGTAATTTTATAGTTATGTTAAGGTACAATTAAAATTGGGTTAATTTCATAATCAATATTTTAAAAATAATATGTTCTAGCTTCATAAAAACTCATTAGGTTTCAATATATCGTTTACAAATTCTTGATAGCAATTACATATCTTCATTCTTGAGTCAACCAAAAATCTCAATGATTTCACAATTTAAATTCATCAACCAATTCAAAAACTTAGTTTACAGTTGGACAATGGACATAAAGTGTAAACTTAGTTTACAGTTGGACAATGGACATAAAGTGTATAAAACTTTAATACTTTAATTTAGCATTTCAATGATCACATTTGACTTGAGCAAATTGATTAAAGTGGGATAAAGATGAGTATGATACCATCTAAAATCTAAATGAATTGTACTCAATGACTGACTCGGGACTTTTCCAAATATAGATGGACTCGGGTTTGACTTGATCCGGTTGATTTGGGTCTAATTAGTTCGGGTGTTCATATTCAAGAATTTTGATTGCACCGTGGTAAACCAATTTTGGGTTCGGGCCATGTGTATCGACTAGTTCTAGGTTCATTTTTGAGCCCATTTGTGTAGAACACATGACAATAGTGTTTTTAAGGGAATTGTATCCTCTGCCGCACGACAGAGTATCTAGAGGCAATTCAAGGGCAGAAAGCAGAGGCGGAAACCAGAGGCAGGAACTGTATAAGTTGTACGGAAATTGGATCTAAAGGTTTATAAAAGATAGGCACCCTACCTGTCTCAATCCATTTTTAAGAGAATCTCAATCCGTTTTTAAGAGGATAAAGCAGCATTAGGACTACAACTCTCCTATATTACCCTATATATGTAAACACTTAATTACTAGAAACATATGCATCTTCAGTTCTTCACACCATTATTTTACTCTTGGTTAGAATTTCAATTATGTTTTACACCCTAAAGCTAAGACTAACTGAACCATGTACTAATAGGTTCGTTTCACCCCTTAGAATAAACTTCCCAAATATGTCATTCATTATATCCTTGACTCTTCCTACCTCAGACTTGCTTAATTGCACAATTCTATGATTGAATAGGCCAGGAGACATCTTTTTTAAAATCAATTAGTGATAAGAAGATTGACACCCTATATTAAAACATCGCTTTGTATTCCCCATGTCAATATAGATTCCTAAGGACACCCTACACTTCATTATGACAGTGCAAAACCCCTATTAAGATGTGGGCCACTATAAAAAAATTACGGAATTGACACAGAATTGACATGAATTGACCGTTGATTTTGTGTCAAAGCGTTTTTGGCATTAATTCGGAATATTCGTACCAAATCCTTCATTAAATTTTCAAATTCCTGCCAGAAATCCGATCTCATTTTTTTTTGCGGTGGGGGGTGCATGAGGGGAAGCACTACACTATGGTCCTAGCAGTTAGACGATTAGCCCACAACCAATTACAGACTCTCAATCAAAGGATGATGCTAACATTCCATAAGGCCAGGCTCACAAAGGGCTACATATGGCATCTTAATCATTATATATTAGTATTTATATGGTTTTGGTTTAATTTAATCCAACTGATAAACCCAGGAGATAGGAATGGTTAAGTGAAGAAGAAGAAAATAATCTAAGAGTAGAAGAAAGAATTGTTTGGTGAGCAAGAATATAGTCTAGGAAGAAGAGAATGGCAGAAGCGGAGTATATTTTTCCTTATCCTCTCCTTCATCAGTACCCGTCCCTTAAATACATTGAAAATACAATAACTAAAACAAAAGAATAAATTGCTACGTGTTTAGTGGTGCTCAGTGGTGTCTCACGTATGAAAATACTAACTGCACTACAACTGCTATGAACAAACACTCCTATAAATAACGAAACCAGTCTACTGCTGGTTTGGCATTCCATTGCAGCTGAGGATAAAGACAGCTTCAAAAAATTGAACAGAGACTTAAACGCCAGACAAGCAAATCCAGTCCAAGAATCAAGAAAACGCCCTGAAATAATATAAAGGGTCTGGCCAATGATCAAAATCCACCAAGATATATTTCCAGCAATTGCAGCCCCGATCAAGCCATGTCCCATTTTCATCACAAGGGCCCAAGTCATAAGGGAATGAAGTGCCAGTGTAGCAATAGACATTGCAGCTATGGCCCATACTTTAGACTGGGATTGGAGGAACTTCTGTATAGGGAAGTTGAATGCATAGGCAAAGAGCTGAGGAATCACCCAAATTGCATATTTGTCAGCAACATGAGATATGTGTTTGTCTTGACGTAGGAGCTTTAGTCTGGGTGACGTGAAGATGTAAACTGGGCTAAGTAACAAAGCAGTGATTCCAGTGATGATCCATGACCTCTGTAGATAAATTCCCAACATGTTGAATTCTGAAGCTCCTACAGCTTGGCCACATAGAGTCTTAAGAGCACTGCCCATTCCTAACTGATTAATATTTGATGACACAGAACATGTCCGCGTGAATGAGTGCGGTCCATTGTTACTGATTCCCTGGATCACGTGCGTTTGCTGATTCCACGTAAAGGACATTGTTTTGGTCTTCCAGTCATTAACCACCACTCTGATCCCAATTGCTCCTGCCACCGGATGCCTGAAACAACGCCAATGCCCACCAAGGGTAGTGAAAAGAATGTGACGTTGAAGTCAGCCCCTTGTATGTGCAGCGGCACTTTATCATAACGCCCCTACAACGAAGAGGTTCTCCATTAGCAACTGTCACAGGGAATGCACGCAAGGGGGATAACGGTAATTCAAGAGCTTCAGCTAGTTTATCTTGAATGAAGTTGTGTGTTGACCCGCTATCAACCAAAATGATCAAGTCTTTGATTCCAATAGTGGCCTTGAGTCGCAACGTCTGATGGCCGGTCCATCCCGTCAAAGCGTGCAAAGAAACCTCTGGTGGCTTATCCTCATTTGGATCGATGTTCTTCCACCTCCTGTGTTGATTCACTTCCTTCTAGCACAAGTAACTCTGGTTGCTTACAACGATGTCCAGGGGTGAATGCCTCGCTGTAAGAAAAACACAGCCCAAGTTGCCGTCTGTGTTGCATTTCATCCAAAGGTAAGCGCTTAATGGGTGTCAGAGTTTTGCTCACATCCTGTTTTGGAGGTGGGCCTAGTATACCGACAGTAGGGTTAGACTTGGTGATCCCTGAGCATTGGAAATTGCAATTGCTTAGCTGCAATTTTTCTTCCACCAAACGTGCAAGGCCGAAAGCATCCTCCAAGGTTCTGGGCTTTCTGGTCTTTACTTTGAGGCGTATTTCATCTTTTAGACCACCAATGAAACATCCAATTACGAAGGACTCTGGAAGATCGTTAATCTGGTGGCTAAGTTGTTCAAATATCTCCTGATATGCAGCAACAGTCGTATTCTGCTTGAGACGAGAGAGGGCCTCACTCGGGTCTTCATACTCAGTTGGGCCGAAACGCACCCGCAGTGCCCTGACGAATTCCTCCCAGGAGATAGGACCCCTGCGCTTGGACATCCAACGATACCACTGCAACGCCAGTTCTTCCAAATTAATGGAGGCTAAGCCTAGTTGTCGCTCCGGAGTCACCCCATAAAATTCAAAGTAT